CTTCTTACCTTCAGGCAGGTGACATTTTTGTTAGCAACGTACCTGAATTTATCCAACTTTCTATAATGTCAGTTTCAGATGTATTTATCAGAAGAGATCTTAAAACACTTAAGCCTACAATTAATTATGCCTTAGTCAGCTAGATGAGTATTTTTCTTTTGTCATTCAAAAACATCGCTATTTTCATCCAGGCTAGCCCAGACAAATGACAATGCAGGCAGGAGAGAAAAAGGCAGATTGGATGAAATCAGTGACTATGTCTAGCTACCCAAGTTCTCTATGGGAATATCCTTTCATGTGTCATTGTATTGCCTGGGCCATAGCCAGGTGTTAGTGGGCAGGTGGATTTGGTCTGGAAGCTCATCCTCCTGAAGGATCTTCCACCAAGAGGGTAGAATTCACATGTTTTATGGACAGAACTTCCCAGTGAGACAAAAGCTGAAACCATGTTCTTACAGCAGCCTTCCTTCTTGGTTAAGAGCCAAGCTTTAGTTCAGTGAGTATTTGTTATTTCTTTGAGATGCAATAAATACAACAGATGTCATGAGCGTGTCCTAACTATGACAGACATTTCATTATAGTGACAGTTGAAACAAAATCCAAGATGGGAAATTTCTGCAGAAATGCTCCATGAAAAACTCTATTCTAATTTTGATAAACACAGTTCTATCAAAGATGCCAAAAGTGTACAGTGGAGAAAAGAAAGGCTCTTCAACTAACGGAGCCGAGAAAACTGGGTATTCACATGTGAACCGTGAAAGTACACTCCTATCCCTCACCCTGCACGAAAATCAACTCCACGTCAGGAATTGGCAGAGTGGGTAAAGGTGGTTGTCATCAAGCCTGATGACCTGAGTTTGATCCCTGGGACCCCCATGTTGGAGAGAAACAGCTCCTATAACTAGTCCTCTGATTTCTACATGCACATCGTGGCATGTACACATCAAGACATATGTGCCCCTCACCCTTACCCCCACGTAATATAATAAAAAATTAAGAAAGACCTGAAACTCTGAAACTGTTAGAGGAAAAAGTAGAGAAACCACTTCAAAATACAGATGTAACTTAAGACTTCTTGAATTGGACTCCAGTCCCTTAGGAAATAATGCCAATAATTGACAAGTGAGATATTATGAAATTAGAAAGCTTTTTGCACAGCAAAGGAACAGCCTCATGTGGTGAAGAGACAGTCTAGAGAAAGGGAGAAACCTTTTTTAGCTTTATACTTGACAGAAGATTAATATCCAGATTTTATGTAGACACATAGCATCCTAATATCCTGTGTGCATACACGGCATGAACGTAGGAGGGAAATTATTACATGAACAAAGGGCCTGTGATGATTGGTGCTGTCAACTGACTGACTCTAGAATCACCTGGGCAGGGAGTCTCACTAGCAGATGGAGGAGATTAGGCTGGCTGTAGGGGACCACTGACGAGGAAGACCCACCTACTGTGGTTGGCACTATTCCCTAGGCGGGTGTCCTGGGCTGTGTCCCAGTAGACAAAGAGAACTGGATTCTGGCAGGCACGCATGCATTCTTCTCTTCTGACTGTGGATGTCGTGTGACCATCTGCTTCAAGCTTCTGATGCCATCAGTTCTCCATCATGATGGACTGTACTTGGAACTCTGAGCTAAAATAAGGCCCCCTTTTTAAAAGTTGCTTTTATCAGTTTTTTTTTTAATCACAGCAATAGAGAAGAAATGAAGTCAGTGGCTAGTAGAAGTGGGTACAGGGACGAGAAAGGGAAGATTAGGGGCCACAGGAGTTGGAATAAGCTGAACATGTCCTTGTGTCCCACAGTACCATGTACAAAAAATATGCACATGAAAATATTTAAATATTTTATTTTTATTTTAGTGTATGGGTGCATTGCCTTCATATCTGTAAGTATACCTGTATCATGCACTGTTTGTGGAGGGAGGTCAGAAGACGGCATCAGATCCCCTGGAACTGGAGTTACGGACAGTTGTTAGTGGCCATGTGGGTGTTGGGAATTAAACCTGGGTCCTCTGCAAGAGCAACCAGTGTTCTTAACTGCTGAGCCATCTCTCCAGCCCCACAAAGAAAAATTTTAAATAGAGTTAATGACAGTTATCTTCTGTTACTATAAAATATGCATATTTGTGAATATGTCCCAGCATTGGGTATATTTATTTAACAGCTTTTATTACTTACCTAAAATTAGAAACTAAACCATTAATTAGCAAAACCCAGAATCTCATTGTTTTCTCTTTAGTTCCATGGCTTATTAATAATCTTGGAAAACGAAACATTTTTCTGTGTATGTGGGGGGTATGATGAGAGTTACAGAAAATCAGCAAACAGTGCATACAATGTTTTCAGCTCATACCACTCGATATTAACCATGAAGTCTTTAAGAGATTCAAAAGAGAATTGTTGCTGAAGCTTTCTTAAAATGGAACTGTTTTAATGGCTAAGTATTAATAAAGATCACATACAAAGCCATAAAAATAACTCCCACATGATTTAAGATATTAAAATGATACCAATAATTCTATGTTGAAAGTTCTGAATACATTTCCTTAGCAGTGTGAATACTTAAAAATAAGACCCTTTCAGAAACAAAAAAGAATAAATTAAGACTGGAAACTAAACACTTATTTTCTGGATGAAGAAGTCTCTATTTAGAGACGCTGCAAGTTGTGTTTTAATCTATCCATTGGTGTAAACGTTTATACATCCCAGGTTCCTGATCTCTCAGAATTCCAGAGAGGAAGTATACCTCTGCTGTTCATGACAGCTGTCATACACACCCTGCCAATAACAAGTCTCACCACGTGAAACTTGAAAATCTACTTGATCTGACATGATAGGAGAGAGAAAGGGTCACTACTGGTAAAAAGATCCAATACATGAGGTTCAAAGGTATAGCTGTAGAGAAACTTTTCCTTAAAGCAAAGTTAAAGTTTTGGGCTGGAGAGATGGCTCAGCAGTTAAGAGCACTGACTGCTCTTGGAGAGGACCTAGGTTCGATTCCCAGCTCCCACATGGCGGCTATGGACCATCCTTAACTCCAGTTCCAGGAGACTCCGAAAGCCCTCTTCTGACCTCTGCACGTTGCATGACACGGGTGCACTCACAAACATGCAGGCAATACACTCACACACATAAAATTTTAAAAAAGCAAAGTTAAAGTTTTACTGATTTAGGACATACTTTTGAATCACACAGTAAAGATACTTGGATTCCGCTGGTGAAGAGAAGAGCATTTTTATTGCCAACAGAAATGGATGAATAAACCTTGGAAGCTGGGTTTACAGTACTGTTCTCATGACAGCTCCTGTAATGCCTATCTACCCAAGCAGTTGGACTGCCATAGAATCTCATGGCATCGACAGGAATGAAAATTGATTGTTGAAAGGTGCTGGGATAAAGTCTCTAGGCAGATGCCTTTGTGGTGTATACATCAGCAGTGAGATCACTGTTCAGAGGAGGCTCGGAGCTGGTTGACGGCTGATTGACTCCCAAAGCAATAAGTGAACAGTTCTGCAAAGTGACTGAAGTCAGCCGTGAGTTATCTACGCGAGCCAGGATCCTGGAAGTGCTCCATGGAGCTCCAGTTTGCTAAATCTTTAAAGCTGGCTGAGTGACTGGAATCATTGGTGCATTTTACACAACTGTTCAGTGCAAGTGGTGACCCCCAATGTGAAACTTCTACTTAGCCATGTCTTCCTTGTTTTGATTCCTGAAAGTCTATTACTTATTTTCTCTTGGGAAACCCCTCCTTGGAGGTGGTAGGGCAGGTAAATGAAGAGTCTAAAATAACTGTATGGTGAGGACTATGCTTACATTAGAGCTCTTTACAAAATATCACACCTGTGGGATAAAAACCTCCTTTGGGAGCAAAGATTAAATGTGCCCTTCACAATAGCCTGTGTTCCTTACAAGACAGGCAGGGAGATTTGGGCAGGCAGGTTGGCCCTGTGTCACCTTTCCTGGCTTCTGTTCAGGATTTAGGTCACTGTACCTTTTCTATTGGTAAACATGAGTTTTCCAGCTCGGTGTTAACAGCTTAAAATCTAGTTACTGAGGAAACATTCTGCATAATGGATGTAATGACCCAGGGCTGGGCTAACAGGGATCTGGAATGAGGAGTGTCGTAAGAGTTATGTTATTTATATATGAACAAAGCTTCCGAGGGCCATTCTGCATTATCCTTGCTGCTATTAATAAACCACCCTCTTCAGGAGTATCTAATTTCAAATGAATCTTACATGATTAAAAGCACCCAAAATGGAAAGGAACCTTGAACTATCTCTGCCCTAGTAGCCTCATTAATTAATAGACCATGTGTCTGGGATCTAATATGACTGTCTGGTGACAGGTATGATTTATCATTGTTATTCCCTAACTTCATCCTTCAATTAATTCCAGCAATTTTCTCCCTCCCTCTGCACGCCAAATAACTTTCTGTTCTCCATCTTGTGTCATTTTCCTTTCTTGACCTGGTATCTCTGTCCTTTGCTCCTTAACATTGTCCATCCATGAGGGTTTGCAATGGATTTTCAAACAGTCCTCTCCAGCACCCGAATCACACTTGCATGTGTGTTTTTCTTTTCTTCTTTTTTGACATAGGGTCTCACTATGTAGCCCCAGCTGGCCTGGAACTTGTTCTAGAGACCAGAAAGGTCCCTGAGTCACACAGATAAACCTGCTTCTGCATCCTGAGGGCTGGGAGTAAAGGTATGTGCCACCACATTTGGCTTGCTTTTTGAATTATGTACTTCCAGTTGGTTTCATAATTTAGTAGACAGTGGTCTCTATGTGCATGACTTTAACCCTTATTCCTTTCTGGATGCTGACTACCTCATTGTTGCTGACACTGGACACACAAAACAATGACTCTTGTTCAAGACAGGTGGTAAGGGCACTTTTTCCAGATGTTCACCAACAGAGCCCTCTATTGATACTGGTGTTTAGAAAGACTTACATTTTCATGGTACCATAAGAAAAATTATAGCAGAAAGACTGACCTGAAATGCACAGGGGGTATTGTCCACACAGTAAACGCGCAGGTTGTAATCCAAGGAGTTACAGGACATGCAGCCAAAGACTGCCACCTTGAGCTGCTTTACAGCACAGTCTGTGATGGGTTCTCCTGTGAGGGCGTATGTCCCAAAGCTATCCAGCAGCACATGACACGCAAAGGGGTCCAAAAGGCAGTAGCAGGATGTGGATTCATCCTCCACTGACATCACTTCCTGTTGGGAAAAGACGTGTTAAATTCCTTCATTTTGGAAATACCATAGGACCTAAATACTTTGCAAGGCCGTAAACTTTTCCATAATATATTATTGTCTTAATTATCGATGTTAAATATTTGTCTTCTTTTAAAGTAACTGCTTATGCCATGAACTCAAAAAATCATAATGTATGATGTGATAGTGTTCTGCTTTAATCGCCAAAGTAACAAAAATTGCTTTGAAAGTTCAATTGCTAGTTAACTGTTCAATGTCAGTTTTTTAAAAGTTGAACCTTAACCTCAATAAGCAAACTACTTTATTTAAAAAAAATTTTTTTCAAAATCTACTTCTGAAAACCTACTAAAATGCCCTTAAGGTAATGTGTATTTTCTCTCCAACATTTTATCATCTTTCATTCCACTGAAATTATTCATGAGAGACCATTAAATAAATGATTTGGATAAGATGTACTGGAATAGCCCCACCCTCTCTGATAAGAATTTAGACATTCATGACTGGTTTGGCGGAGCATAAATATAACACTGTCTGGATGTAGGAGATTGTGAGAAAATGCTGGGAACTGAAGTGGTAAAACTCAAAGTAAATCAAAACACAAGGGGAAGGAGACCATAACGTGGCCCCCTTGGAGCTCTGTACCTCCAAGAAACCCCTGTCATAGCACCAGGATGGAACACACAGCAGACTGCCTTCTGGAACAAAGCAAATGGACTAGTTTCAAGACATAGCTGGTAGGGGGAATATAATCCCAGAAACTGGGCATTTTTACCTAGAAAAATATTTTATTTCACTTCTTTTGCCTGAAGCAGCTCCTGGGAGGCCAGAGCCCAGCACTCACAGGTGCAGGTCACTGTGATCCAGCCAGATGATTCACCTGCTTTCATGCAAATGGACTGCAGATGGACATAAAAGATTCCCTATCAGACAAGTTTTCCCTTAAATCAGAGCTTTCACTTAAAACAGTAATTCAACTGTATGCTATGACTGTCTCTTTAATAGTTAGCCCGTTTGTTATACAACCTCATTCTCTTTTCTAGTCTCTCTGCTTGTACTGTATGTCTTCACTGTACTCACATACAGGGAAACAGTGGGATAATTCTCAATGAACTCACTAATATCATAAACACATAGCAGGCACTTATTGTGTTCCAGGATGTTTCTAAATTTAGTGACGTTATAATCCTCAGGATGAAAACAACATCCAAACAGATCCGATGTTTCCTCTTTGGAATACAGCCTGTCTGCCTTGAGCTGCCTTCTCTGCCAAAGAGTAATGTTGGATATGGCCTGGGAGGGAGTGTGGGCACTCAGCAAGCAGGCATGTAAGTGTATGCATCCTTGTGAGCAATTACAACTGTGTTCTCAAACCAAACAACAAGCTCTGGATCATATCTTGCATCTCCATTAGTATAGAAAAAGACTAGCAAATGCCTGGAGGAGTTTATAAAATGCATGCCATAACCACATGACAATTAGCAAATGTTCACTCATTTTATAACTGACTCACTGCAGTAAGTAGGAACCATTAAGGATAAATCAAACCCAATGCTATAATTCAGATCCTAGTACTTCACACACACACACACACACACACACACACACACACACACACACACACGGTCTCACCTCCCACTTGCCCTGCTGTGTTCTCTTCTTCAAGTGGATGTTCCAGTGCTCTGAACTGACGTCAGCACAGTGCGGAATGGTCAATGCGAAGGGAGTGGTGACCATCATATCTGGAGGACCACAGGTGACTTCTGGACTCAGCAGCACCTCAGACCCATCTGACTGCAGGCTTCACAGACAGGAAAGGATAAGAGAAGCATATAAGGGATGAGGGATTTCTCCATGAGCACTTAGTTACTGGCTGGGATGTGCTACAAGAGTGAAATCCCTTCGCAGAATGACCCGAGAGCAGGTGCTAGCCCTAAGCTGCCCAGCCTCACAGACTCACTTATGCTGAGATTTCAACTGGTCTGCTCAACAAATCAACAAAGTGACAAACAGCCCCTTGGAAATAAAGACCAGGATGAAAAAACTCAAAGACCTGGTCTGAGTCAAAAACTGCTGTCAAATTCTTATTCCGATTGATAATTATATCAATGACAAACCCCAAGAATTCTACAGAATCAACTAATTTGGCTTATTACCATCAAGTTCCTTTTCCCCAAATACATTTAACAACGTTAGTAAATGATAAAACAAATTATTATGGAACAAAACACAACCTTTAGGACACACAAATTAGGTAGGTAATATAATGACAGCACAGTAGAAAGGTATAAATATACACAGTCAAGAACATAATATATTTTTTGACTTTTCTCTATTTCAGAGCTAAATCCAAAGTTGTTTTACCCAAACACAGAGTTCAGATTTTTCTGGATTGTGAGTTGTTTACAGTCAAAACACCACTGCTACCATGAAGCACATGAACCACGTGCTCTTTGGACTCACACACCACACTGAATGGTCCCCTTTTCATTTTCAAGGCTCCCCTCACCCTACTTATATTGGGGATGAAACAAGGTTACGAGCCAAACTCTGGATCTTGGCTTTTGTTTTCCAGCTCTGCCCACAAACAATAAGAGGATGTTTATGTGACAATCAGTGAAAATCACTAAAGTCATCCTAGTTCCTCTCAGCTGCCTGCCCATTGTGGAAAGAGCATTTTTGAATTTCCATTTATTTGGTGGATTTTCACTTGTAAGAAACAGTGATAGTGAACACAGTCAACAAAGCAGAGACTCACAAATGAGCCCCTGTGATCTAGGATGGAGATTGCCAAAGCTTTAATATGTCTTCCTAGACCCCCTAGACCCTAGGGCAAGCAGGAAGGTGAAATTTGGTTAAAAAACAAATGAACAAATGCAAATTTCCAGACAAACCATTCTCCAGGAGTTTACCTAAAATGCTATTAAATTTCGGAGTCATTTTCATTGCTTTCCCCTGACCTGCCTCATATTCTTCATGGCCCTATTGGAGCTCGTTGTCTATAACATGCTGTGTACTAAGCTTGGGGTGCATAACTGAGCAGGAGCATGTCCCATCTCCTGCATCCAAGACAGCTGAACACTATAGCATGGTCACCCTCCCCCCACACGTAGTACCAGAGATGCCTTTAAAAAAGATTATTTTCCCAGGAAATCCTAAGTGACGGTTCTTCCTCTATAAGCCAAGTGTATGTTGAGGTGGGAACCCCTTTGCATATATATTTGAACAGCGAGAGGACTGGAAAGCCATGCATTAGCAGCAGCAAATGCTCTTTGGAAAGCATAAAATAGTACACTCAAGTTTTGAAAAACATGCAAAATTCAAGCGTGCGCTCTAACGAGCATGCAGTGGCGGCCTGTGTGTGGACGGCTGCCAGCGGCCATTAGAGATGGTTAAGCGTTTTTCCTGTAATTGCCCCCCACATTCATCATGAACAGGAATAGCAGGGATGCTTATGAGTGACCGACGACAAGCTCTCCTCAAAGAACTATTTAATTGCTTTTGGAGAATCATCCCCCTTGTTGAACATATTGTTCAAACATATGGGAATTTGGGGAATTATTTAATGCCAAATGAACTGAAATCAGCTAATTAGATGAACCTGCACACTCGTTGTGACTAGTAATACTCCTTTCACTAATAAGGGGACCAGCACTAGCACTCACGAGAGCACTGTGCGCATCAGAGTGCAGAGTAGAGTTTTGCATGAAGCAGGCGTCGGACATTTCTGTAAGTAAATCAAGGTTTATATCCAATCCTCCCTTCCTGAAAATAGTGTCTGTGGGTATTGCTGTCTCTCTGGTGAAGGAACAAGATTTAATCTATTTTTCTTTCCATGAGCAACAATTTCCCTTTTCTTCCACTTTCTATCTGTGGTAATCAGGGAGATTCACAAATATTAATTAAAGCCCTTCACACACCTGAGGAGGCAGATGATCCATGCATAAGGTCACAGAGAAGTCAATCAAAGGGATGCCAGATAAACCTCCCTAGACCTCTGACTCACAGCGCCTGTGCTCTGTGACTAGATTGCACCTTTCTTCTGTGTCACCTTCAAGAGCTGTCCTGCTAAACTGCCTGCTCTTGAAACATCCCAAGGAAAGATGGGGACGGAGCATGTGCTTCAAGTGCAGGCACAGATGCTGACTCAAGCACTTGAGGACCTGGCCCTAGGAGACAGGCCTTTAATTGGGTGTGGATAAGATGAAGCTTTTTAAGGAAAGCATAGATGCCATTTGCATTTTCTCACATTGTAATGTATGACAAGGCGGTATTCATGTCCCTGCTGGAGAACAAGGCAACACATTTTTCTAAAATTGTGGTGAGCTAATAATAACTGCAAACTATTAACAGCAGTGACTTTGGGCCATAAGAGGAATGACTTCAGCGAATCTCACAGCCCTAACTTTTTTTGTTCTCCATCTAAATATACATTTAAATATATGTGCCTGCAATTTGTATCTTGTGTATGCAAAGAAAAAGTTTAATAATTTGAGAGTCAGGCTTTATCTTTATAGGAAATTCCCATCTAGGCAGCTAATTTATTCAGTAACTTGCCACTATCAACAGCCTGAGAATGTGCACCATGGGATTTACGGCACTCTGATGAAGAGGCTGGTCTGCCTGCTGAGTCCTTACCTCGGTCTGTTTGCAATGCAGTCACCCATGCCACACTGCTGAACATGCCAGTTTACTCTGACCTCAAGGAACGAGGGCCATTTCTGCTGCTCTGAGTGTGGGGTAGTGCCTGGAAGATATTTCCTCCAGATACCTTCAGGACTCCCTGTGCCCTTCTTTGCAGGAATGACACCTACTAACTAGGTGTTCCCTGCACAGACCCCGGTAATTGGAACATTCCCTACACTAAAAGCTGACCTTTGCTTTTCTTTTTCTAAGGTACTATCCCATTAGTTTGTTATCTTTTGTCTCTTCCAGACTAAGATGTAATCTCTATGAGGCTAGAAATTCTTTTTTGAGACAGGTTCTCCCTGTAACCCCAGTTAGATGTGCAGACCAGGCTGGCCTCAATCACAGAGATCGGCCTGCCTTTTCCTCCTGAGTGCTGGGATTAAAGGTGTGTGCTACCACACCAGGCTTGAAGCTAGAGATATCCTTAGTGCTGAATATACTGGTTGTAAGAACTCAAAATGTTTTTGAAAAGAAAAACATTGGTTCCCACTGATTAAATCTGGAACATTTGAGACTCAAACGAAATTATGAAGTATTAAAACACATCGAGCAGAGGAACATAACAGTTTACAGACAGTATTGATAATATATTAATGAATGAGAAACTTTGGTATAACAAAAGATCAACTAATAAATATAGAAAAGCATGATTTAGCAATCAACCACAATTATTACTGATCCATCCAAGAATTATAAATGATGTAAATCTATTGGGCATGAGTTTGAAGAGTTAATAAAGAACCATAGAGTCTCAAAGTATTTATCACAAGGACTCGCTAATTATAAAAAGCAAAACATGACTTCACTTGGGTAATTTGGTATATACCACTTAAAACAAGTTGTCAAACTCAATGTTGCCAGTCATAAAACGATGGACAGAATACTCCTCCCCATGGTGCTGGTAAACAGTGGAGAGAGTCCAGCATCTCTTCTAGGCCATTCCCACCTAAAGAACACAACATACATCTCATCCTTGGGAAAGAAGAGAGAAACTCAGCAGGTAGTATGCAAGATAAACCATCTGCATGCTTAACTGTCAATGTTGTGAAATCTCAAGACAGACTCAGGAGTGACTGCAGATTAAAGTAGACTAAAGACACACGGCAATCAAATACAGTGAACTATCCTAGGTTTTCATTTACAGTAAAGGGCCTTAGTCGGGTAAAAAGTAAAATAAATACAAGGTTTGTGGAGCAGGTAACAGTATTTCAATGCTGTGTGACTTTGATAACCATGCTGTGGTCACATAGGATAGTTTCCTGCTTTGGGGTAAATATACATTAGTATCTGGGGTAAAGGGGTACCTTGCTCACAAAGGTTACAAACCTTTTGTGTATATGTCCATGTATGCGTTTTACTCATTTGTTCATGTACACAGAGAATACAGGAAAGGTAATAGAACTTGTAAACCTGAGCATAGGAGACAGGAATTCTTTATGCCATTCTCTCAACTTTTCAGTAAGTTGGAAAATGTATTAAAAAAGAAGGGGCTGAAAGAATTGGTGGACGACTACAAAGAAGCAGTGTTTTCCAGAGAGAAGTTACTTGCATGAACTCCCAGCAAATGTGACTGCATGTGTAAGCTCTGCACAACCTCAAGCAAAACAAAATCCCAGCATGGAGGAGGGGGCAAGAAGCCTGAGCCTAGCAGAGGAACTATTGGCAACTGATAGCTGCAGGGAGAGTCCATTTTCTTTCCCCAGGGTGTGACACTGGGTGGGTTTGCCAGGCTCCAGGGCATGGACCTGCACTGAGAACAAATGAAGGCTCAAATTAGACCTGAGAGACCTTAAAAAAATAACAGAGGCCATGAAATCAGGTGGGGGCAGTAAGGTGGGGCCAGAGGTGGGGATGGAGCTGGGGAGTCCGAATATAATAAAAATGCATAGTATAAAATTCTCAATAAAATATTTCTAATGTATAAAAATGAAATTTTCAGGTAAATGGATGGATCTAGAAACTGTTATACTAAGTGAAGTAATACAGACTCAGAAAAACAAACCACATATGTTCTCCCTCATATGTGGATCCTAGCACCAAATCCTTTTAAATTCTAGGTCCTTTAAATAAGAAGATGCTATATAGCAGTCCCTTCTGCATGAAATAACTACC